TGACCAAATACTTATTTTACACCATTATTTGCAAAAAATTCTTTAAAAGTCAGACAAAATGATTTTCTCAAAAAAATTTTTTTTACATTTTGTCTCTCATAGTTGAGGTCTACCTATGATGTCAATTACAGGCCTCTCTCATCTTTTTAAGTGGGAGAACTTGCACAGTTGGTGACTGACTAAATACTTATTTTCCCCACTGTATACCAATAAAAAAACTGATTGCCTGATAAATCTGTGCACAAAAAACTAGTTTGAAATGCTTCCATCAACATGGAAAAAGATGAGACTACTTGTAGTAAGACTAGGTTCATTTAGTCTAAAATTCTCTCTTGATCAACAAAAATATGAGGCTTAAATACTCTGATTTTGTTCTWTCTCTATTCCTTGAATGATCAAACAAACCAATAATCTACCTGTAATTATACCATGGAAAAACAACTTTCAGATAAGCAAAACAAATATGTGTGTGAAGGTTTCTGTGCCTATTTCTTGATTTATATATTTTTTTACATGTAAAAGTTTATAGAAGTATTGTTTTTCTCTCTATATGCTGCTTTGCGTTTGTGGCAACATGAAGAAAGAGGAGGCCCGTGGACCCGAACAGCACAGTTCATGGGTCGGTGCTTCGACTCAGCTTACTGAAGGGCATCTCTGCGCAGATTGTTGCTGCCGCTGTGAGGCTTTTACAAACACACACCTCTTTTTGTTATCACCTTTCTGATTGAGATTGTATTTTACCCTAGCTCTTTATCACAATCTGAAAGTTCACATAAAACTCCTAATGACAACCTTAATCCTAGTCTTTTTTCCCCACTAAATCTACCTTAAGATGGATCCTTTAACACAAAAGCCACTCTTAAAAACACATCTGTGTACAAAAGACTAAACTTTACTAGAAGTTTAAATGTTGAACTTGAAACACATCAAAGTTGAGGTTGTATTCAGTTGTGACATAAACATTTGTCTTTACTCAGGACAAAGTGGATGCTGGGCTGCCAACTGCAATAGTAAGTAAATGTTTGTTCAAGTAAAAGTTTAACAACATCTATTTCTTCTTAATAAGTTTTTATTTATTTATTTATTGTAATTTTATCATTTGAGAGGCATTAATGCCTTTTTCTTGTTTTTGATCTGCGGGGGGGGGAACCGATATGCGTATAAAAAACACATTAATTACTGCGCAGTAACAATGACGCTAAAATACACTGAGCTCATGTTCAGAGTGAGCTACAGTAAGAGCCATGTAAAATTTGACTGAGATAATTACAGCAACATCTACTTCTGTGCWTTGTGGCCAAATTGTGTACATACATGTGAACTACATGTAATTTGTAGTTTTCTGCTTGAATATTTTCTGTAGTACTTTCTGACTAAGCCTYKTGTTTGTGTTTGCAGACGATGGCTGGTGTAATCGCTGTGGGAACGTCTCACGGCCTCGCTCTGGTTTTTGGTGAGTTTAAACTTGTTTATCCCTCTCGCTATGATTTTAGCAAATGCTTTAAACATTTTAGAGATGAGAAAGGCACAGTTTTCTTTTTTGACCCTTTGTTTAGTTTTCATTTTTGTTCATCCTTGTTGTAACTGATATCCGCCGACATTGGGGCGTGCAGGGCAACTGGAATGAGTTGTTGAGGATTCAGTGTCATTTTAATTTGACTCTGCAGTAGTTTGGGGAATGTGGGGGGTATTTATTTATTATTGTTTAGTTCTGTGTTCATTTTTTTATTTAGAAATTTATTCATTTCACTTGTTTTATACACAACAAAGAACAAAAAACATGAAAAAAATAAAAACAAATAAAATGAAAGGCAGCAGAAGAAGAATGCATCTTATAATATCTGCCCCGTTTTTATCCCCAGAATATGTTCAAAATGACAGAAGATTACAACAAAAATCAAAACATCTGAAAACAAACAAAAAACAAAGCTAAACTCAAAACACCAACTCAAACAACAATTTGCATGGATTCACTTATGCTTCTCCATATTTCTTCAGAATACTAGATTTTATCATTCTCTTTAATATATACAAAGATATKTTTAGTCTGCATTAAGGGGAACAAAATGCTCTGGGAGCGAGATAACATTCGTTGGTGTTGCAATGCTCTGTGCCGCAAGGGTGTGCACAGCTCAGGTTGTTTTAGAAAAATCAGAGACATCACCATCGTAACATTTATTGGAAGTGTCACAGCTAAAAGCAACAAGTTACAGATTATGCCAGAAAGTGTTTTTTTTTAATCAGAAACAGATTGACCTAAAAATAGTTTTTAAAATAATTGAAGTTACACGATTCATATTTTCTTCTAAATTCGGACTCAGTTTTACAACATTGGAGTAATCTATCAGAGAAATCTAAAATAAGCCAACTGTTACTTCTTCAAATATAAAATAACATCATAGTGAGWGATGCTCAATGTTTAATTTTTACTTTAAATTGCTCAAGTTTTCAGCAACGTTGACCTATGTTTCTTTATACCGCTGACAAAACGATGGGCCGGGCAGGAAAAGGTACGAGCACTSCTGTTGATTCTACTCATTTTGCTCATTTTATTTCTCATCTACTTGGGGCGTCGTGGCTCGTGTGAGGCTTGGTTTGTTAATGGAACTTTGATGCATGAGTGGTGGTTTCATTTTTCTTTACAACTTTTTCATTTGTTTATTTTTGGTACCTACGTGTTTGGGCTGTTAGAATTTTTTCCCTCCTCTCTTGTCCAAGCAGGTAAATTTCTTTTCCTTTTTTATTAATTTATTTTCCAGATACAAACCAGGCTCTGCGACTCTGTCTGGGTAACAAAACGACGGGTGCAGAGTTCGGCGCCATCTCTGCTCTCAGCATCAACCACGACTGCTCCCGTCTTCTCTGTGGTTTCGCTAAAGGACAAGTAAATACTTTTAGGAAATTACTGGATTGTTGACTAAATGAAGAATTGATTGAAGTGAATCTCTTTGGTAGAGCATAGTTCTCAACCACTGTTGTGTATTTAGACCTTAAAACTGAACAAATGTTTAAACTGAGAAATTTCAACCAACATTTTCAAAAGATGACACAAATTTTATTGTATTATTTATATTTTAAATAACTTTGTTGCAATACTTTGGAAAAATATTGTCATTTATTCCCATATGTGTAATTCTGAGAGAGAATTAAATAGTCTTTTTAGCTTCATATATTTATTTATTTTCATAATTAGATTACAATGTGGGATCTTGCTAATGGAAAACTTCTGAGGACTATCACAGATGCTCATCCTCCAGGAACAGCTATACTGCATGTAAAGGTAAGTCCATCTGGGTTCAAAGTCCACTTTCAGTCCCCTAACATCACATAGAGCTGCCCCTGCTCCGTGTCTGTATTTTGTGCATTTTTATCTATCACTGCGAAAATATCAATAAAACGAATATATAAAAGTCAATAGAAAAGCAAGTATAAAGAACCAGAAGACTGCATTTAAATGTCAGCCTTGGTATGAATGTATTTGGGGAGTGGTGCCTTATTTTACTCATGTGCATTAGTAACTGTCTAAAGGTCAGTGTGTTTCAGAGGTTAGGTTGTTTGTGTGAAACATTGCATCCCTTCCTCATTTGGTTCTTTTTGTCCTCTTGTCTGTAGTTCACAGATGACCCAACCCTGGCGGTTTGTAATGACAGTGGAGGATCTGTGTTTGAACTGACTTTCAGGTAAAACCAGCTGCTCTGAACTAAAAYACAACCAAACTCCTATTTTTTGTTTTAATTTTCCTTCAGTCTTTTTTACTATCACCTTAACAAACTAGAGTTTTTTTCTGTGAAGTTGGGTTAAAAAATATTTTACTCTTTTTATCCTGTTTGTTGAAATATATTCATCCATCTGAAATACCATTGAATGACATAAATACCATTGAATGTCATAAAAATAATGTATTCCAAGTAATTCTTTCACTTTTCCGTTTTCAGGAGGGTGATGGGGATGCGGTCTTGTGACTCTCGATGCCTCTTCAGTGGTTCTAAAGGAGAAGTGTGCTGCATTGAACCTTTACGGGCGCCTCCAGATTTCAGAGATCATCCCATCACGTGCTACTCTCTGCTGGCCATGGCCTCCCTCACCAAGGTGTCATCACACACATCAGTCATGGCAAACATTATCAGACATCATTTAAGTCAGTCTTTCATTAAAACCTTTTACCGGTGTAGTTTTTACTCTTAGGTTTATGGATTTAATTTTTGAACAACTACTATTTGTGTTAATTGTGAGACTTGAAAATCTAMATGCTGACCAAACGTTGTCTTTTAAAATTATGAATATTCATTTTTATTGTTATGGCTAAAAAAAGATAGAACACACTACTGGAGACATCGCTGTAAAGGAAAGGTTTATATTACAATATACAGTCAGATAAACATAATTGAAAACTGAGTTGTTTGGTTTTTTTTTTGCTAAAATTTTTGTTATTCGGAAAAATGTTTATTTTTACTTTGTATAATTTCATTCCTGTTGGATTTTGTTAGCTTTAGTTGATCTATCCATGTGTTAACACCAATGTTTTCTCTCTTTTGGTTTCCCTTCACCAGATTTTGGTCATTGGACTCAAACCCACGTTAAATGTCTGGATGACGTTTCCTTACTCTAAGGTCTGATTGTTTTACCCACCGTCCTTTTTGTTCAGTTTGTTATTGGACAATAATTACTTGAAACAGATGAATGTTAAACATTGACTTGTGGTTTGGTGCAAACAACTTTACTGATGTGATAACATTGTTGTCTGGTGCAGTTAATTAYAAAACTGTTTGTTTATCTGCACATATTTTCGGATCAGGTCCTGACGTATCTTTTATTTTATAAACAGACCCTTTAAACTAAAAATAAATTATTTAAATGAGCCATACAGTGTAATCTACAGTTTTTGTATATGATTTACAGCTGATTGTACTTTTAGTCTACCCTGTTGTGATGTTTTTATTTATTGTTCTGCTACTTTTAGCTTTTAGCTAGCCAGTTGTTACTAATAGCTAGACTTTTGTCACTTTTAGTTAGACTTTTCTTACTTTTAGCTGGATTTATGTTACTTCTAGTCTTTTTGCTACTCTTAGCTTTTACTCCCCTTTTGTTTTTTATCTTTTAATTAGCCTTTTGTTATTCTTCAAAACTTTTACTGCTCTTAGCTTGTAACTAGCCTTTTATTGTGTTACTTTTAGCTCCCATTTTTTTACTTTTAGCTTTTAATGAGTCTGTTGCTACTTTTAACATATAGCCAATATTTTCTTCTTTTAGCTTTAACAAGTCAATTTCAGCTTCTTCATCAAATTTCAGCAATTTCACTCTGCACTCAGCATTCACATTGCATTTTCATAAAAAAATTTATTTTTTTTACACAGAACCCCATTTTGAACCAATCAAATTTTAGTTGACACATGTAAACCTGGTTCTTACTGTAGTATTTGTTTCAATGTCCCACTATTGGATATGTGTGCTTTTATATGATGCTGTGTCGTAATGCAAGCTATGCAGGCGCTTGATCTCCAGCCAATCAGGATTGTTGTAAAGAGATAAATGCTTCTGAGGTCGACACAGAGGGGTGCATCCCATAGTGAGACAYCAAAACATGCTATGAATGAGAACAATTCCTTTAATGGCAGCAAATCTTTGCTGACAGATAAAGTTTTAATTAATTTTAAATATTACCTGTTTTAAGTATTTTTTCTAATAGTTTTTAAATCAGTTTCTAATAATGTGATGAACCTTCTTCCTTCAGTCTGATCCATCCAGTGTTCCTCAGCTGGCCTGGCAGTTTGTTCCTGTTCAGAAGATGGTCAACCCCATTCTTGCCTTTTGTAAAGGCGACACAGTCCACTTCCTCCTGGTATCTTTTCTACTTCATCTTTACCCACAAACTACGAAGCACACAATATACCTCATGCTTTAAYCTTTATGCATTGTTTTTCTACACGTTATTTTTATTCATGACATACTCTGAACCTGCATATTGCAAGTAAGGCTTTTGTTAAAATGAAAAGGAAAAAAAATGTATATGTTGTTTGTGAAATGTTCTTGTTGTCTGCTTGCTTTCTGATTTTTCTAAGAAAATCAATTTTGTGCGATATTATTTGTTCAGGTAAAGAAGGAGGAGGTAGGCACCATCCATGTCATCAAGCAAAGACAGCTCCACCTCAGCTGTGACATCATCAGCCTAAATGTAAGGAAATATCTAAGTTTAGTGGATTGCTTCCAATGTCTAACTTTCTCACCTATAAAATGTGWCATAAAGCAGTTTCACCTATTATTAACATTCATTCGTTCGTTTTTATTCTCAAGGATTTTAATTCTTGTAACTTATCTATGTATCTTCCCACCATGCAACAATATTGACTGTCCCACACGTCTAGATTGGACTATTAACTGCTGCTACAGCAACATTCCTAAGGAGTTTAAAGCAGGGAAATCTGATCACAACGTAATTCATCTTTTGCCTAAATACAAAGCTATGGTTAAAAGGACCAAACCAGCCGTCAAACAGATATAAGTCTAGTCTGACACAAACAAAGTAGGAACTGTTTTGACAACACAATCTGGGATGTTTTCTTTGAATCCTGTCTGATGGAAATTAACTTACAGGCACTATAACATCATATATTAAGTTCTGTGAAAATTGTTTGTCAAACAAAAACTGTTAAAATATTCACAAATAACAAACCTTGGGTTTCGAAACAACTGAAAACCTGTCTAAATGAAAGAAAGGCTGCTTTCTATTCAGGTAATAAGGAACTTGCACAGGAGAAAAAGGAAACAATTAAGGCAGAGTATCCTCAGTGCAAAAATTATGTAAAAAATATATTCTATTCTATTCTATTCTACTCTACTGTACTCTATTCTAATCTACTCTACAGTACTGTACTCTATTCTACTCTACTGTACTCTATTCTATTCTACTGTACTGTACTCTAATCTACTCTACTCTATTCTATTCTACTCTACTCTACTGTACTTTATTCTAATCTACTCTACTGTATTCTATTCTAATCTACTCAACGGTACTGCACTCTATTCTACTCTGCTGTATTCTATTCTATTCTATTCTATTCTATTCTATTCTATTCTATTCTATTCTATTCTATTCTAT